ATAAAGGTAATGAACAGAACCGGTGACAAAGGGCAGCCCTGGCGGAGTCCAACCCTCACCGGGAACAGGTCCGACTTACAACCGGCTATGCGGACCAAACTCACACTCCTCTGGTAAAGGGACTGAATGGCCCTTAACAGAAAGCTACCCACCCCATACTCCTGGAGCGTCCCCCACAGGGTGCCCCTGGGGACACGGTCATAAGCCTTTTCCAAATCCACAAAACACATGTGGATTGGTTGGGCAAACTCCCATGCCCCCACCATCACACTTGCAAGGGTATAGAGCTGGTCCACAGTTCCACGGCCAGGACGAAAACCACATTGCTCCTCTTCAATCTGAGATTCAACTATCGATCGTACCCTCCTCTCCAGTACCTTGGAGTAGACCTTTCCAGGGAGGCTGAGGATTGTGATCCATCTATAGTTGGAACACACCCTCAGGTCACCCTTCTTAAAGATGGGGACCACCACCCCGGTCTGCCACTCCACAGGAACTGCCCCCGATGACCACGCAATGTTGCAGAGACGTGTCAACCATGACAGCCCTACAACATCCATAGCCTTGAGATACCCAGGATGAATCTCATCCACCCCCGGGGCTCGGCCGCTGTGTAGTTGTTTGACTACCTCAGTAACTTCTGCCCCCGAGATTGGACACTCCATCCCCAGGTCCCCCGGCCCTGGTTCCTCCTCGGAATGCACATAGGTGGGATTGAGGAGCTCCTCAAAGTATTCCTTCCACTGCCCGACTATTGCCCCAGGTGACGTCAGCAGCTCCCCATCCCCACTGTAAACAGTGTGAGCGAGTTGCTGCCTTCCTCTCCTGAGGCACCGGACAGTTTGCCAGAAACTCTTTGGAGCCGATCGATAGTCTTTCTCCATGGCCTCAACAAACTCCTCCCACCCCCGAGATTTTGCCTCGGCAACTGCCACTGCTGCACCCCGCTTGGCTATCCAGTACCTGTCTGCTGCCTCCATAGACCCAAAGACCAGCAACGCCCTGTAGGCCTCCTTCTTCAGCCTGACGACTCCCTGAACCTCTGGTGTTCACCAGCGGGTACGGGGGTTACCACCACAACTGGCACCGGCCACCTTGCGACCACAGCTAGCAACAGCCGCCTCAACAATTGCAGAGTGGAACAAGGCCCCCTCGGAGTCAATGTCCCCCACTGCTCTCGGAACGCGGTCAAAGCTCTGCCGGAGGTGGGAGTTGAAGACCTTCTTAACAGGTTCTTCTGCCAGGCGTTCCCAGCAGACCCTCACTATGCGTTTGGGTCTGCCAGGTCTACGTGGCATCTTCCCCTGCCATCTGATCCAACTCACCACCAGGTGGTGATCAGTTGACAGCTCCGCTCCTCTCTTCACTCGGGTGTCCAAAACATACCGCCGCAGGTCAGATGATACGACTACAAAGTCTATCATCGACCTGCGACCTAGGCTGCCCTGGTACCAAGTGTACCGATGGGCATTCTTATGTTCGAACACGGTTTTCGTTATGGCCAAACTGCGGCTTGCACAGAAGTCCAACAACGAAAATTAAATTGTAAAAAAAAATTAATATTTACTTGGGGGTGCAATGACTAATCCAGGGGTGGCTATAGCGCCCCCTGGCGCCGCCACTGCCCCCAAATCAACTATTTTTTCTGATAAACTATATAAATGTGTGTCAAAGTTACACAAGTTTGTTCACTTTTATATCTAAAAAGAGTCTCTTTTAAACTTTTGGTAGGTATGACCATTGTAGGCCTTTTACTGAACAAGACATCAACAATTAAAAGCTAATCAATAAAACCAACTGAATGTCATTTTTGTGTTGGCTAATTAGTGTGTGAAAAGGACAATAAGAATTCAGTTACAGTTGCTTTGGATACAACAACATTTAAATAAGTTTAATAACAACAATTTTGACAAAAACACGTTGATATCTATCAATGCAAATATTTCAACTTTATATAAATGCTTTTGTTCCACATCTTGCATTAGGCAAAATGATCACAAAAACAAACGTATTAATGCTTAAGCCTGGGACACAGCGGAGACAGACGCACCACAGCTTTGGGGAGTTAAATGGTCCCACAGGCCACGTCACTGAGTGCTTCTTTGAAAGTCACGCGATAGTCACAACATCACGCAAGACTTGAGAACAGGAAGCGGGAAGTGACTCTATTGATTACACTTGATCAGACTTGCCCGTCGTGCTTTCTGAGACTCTAAATCAGTGGTTCCCAAACTTATTTAGCCGCGCACCCCCTTCTATGTCCCGACCATGTCGACGCACCCCCCAGCCCCCCCATATATATATATATATATATATATATATATATATATATATATATATATATATATATATATCAGACATCAAGCTAAACAGACAGGGTTAAAAAAATATGATCGACCTTTTCCCCATCACTTTCATTTTAAAAAAAGTAGAGGTTCACTTTTGCCTCAGACCGACTTATTGCTGTTTTATGGTGCGGCTGAATCTGCGATCCGCTGCCACGCGGACTGGAACAACAAATGCTGCAGTAACATGAGTTGTGGTCAGGTTCATGAGGAGTCACTGGCTGGAGCGGACCCGACTTTAATACGTCATCCCAAAATAGAAGCTAATATCTTAATTTGACCTTGAATGAAAAATGTTGTTATAAAACCTCTTAAAAGTTTTTATCACGGAGGCAGCGCTCATTTCTGCCTTCAGTCTGACGGCTCGCAGGAGTTTGCGCAGTGTGCGCGCTTTTTGAATCTGTGTGTGTGTGTGTGTGTGTGTGTGTGTGTGTGTGTGTGTGTGCGGCACAGCTCCATGAGCCGCTCAAGTCACTGCGTCTCGTTATTGGCGCTATTTAAACCAATGTTGTAAAATTGCTTCTGCCCAGCCCAGATGTGCTCACTTGTGCACCCGTGGGCCGTGGTTCCGCTGGAGCGCGTCTGACCTCTGACAGACGCACTCTGAACTTCAGATCTTCAGCGCGCTGTCAATAGCCTGAATGGGAATCATTTCTTGATTTATTTAGTTACATCCACAATGTTCTGTGTGTGAGGTTTACAATGTCAGAACACCTGCATGAGACAGGGTGTTAATTACAATCTGCCAGAATGACTCACCACCTTCAGATTCCTCCAACATTGTTAAAAATGATCAAATACGGAACATATCGGCGTGCGCAGGCCAGAGTGCTGAAGCTCGGCGCATTGTTATCATGAAGCTAGAGCACATGTGGAGGACACATGCGCAAAAATATACTTGTTTTCAATTGCATTTATTGGGCCCACTTACTTTTTCTTAGGCCCACCCACAAATGAGTTTCTGGCTACGCTAATGGTGACATATGACAGACTTCTCTGAGCTCTGCAGCCATTACACTTTTCACCTCGCGCACCCCCACACTTTGGCAATCCCTGCGCCTAAATCATTAAAAATGGGTAAGAATGCTATTTATTAGAATATTTTAAGATCAATTCTTTAAAGTCATCAATGCTGCAGTTGGGTTTGTGCCGTAACGCCGTTCCGCGTTGTAACGTCTGTTGTAAAGTACTCCACAATGTTGCAAACAGCCGTGGTGCCGCTTGTAGTAGAACTGGCGCCTATTTTCAGAGCCTCGGCGCAGTACTTCTGGGACACAGTGCGGCGCTCCCCGTATAGCCACTCTCATTAACTATAATAGCTTCTATTTAAAATGATGGTGCGGACATGACGCGTCTGTCTCCGGTGTGCCCCTGGTGTGCCCTAGGCTTTAGTCTCCGCCTTGAGCTGGGGGGCTCAGACGGGGGCCCAATCTTGCTGTTAGGGTGGCACTGTCCCATCCTCGAAACCCCTAGAACCACCCCTGGGAGTAGATTATTAACCTTTAACCCTTGTTAACCCAATGTGAAACTGATGTAGTTGGACTCAGAGCTGAATAAAATAATGGCTGTTGTTTGTCAGCGTTTTTGTGGGATAACTGGAATTTTTTCATGACTCACGTCCTCTGGATGTTTACACCAGCACCTTTGCTTTTGTTATGGGTTGACAGTAATCATCACTAACCCAGGAATCTTCATCTTATATTTTTTATTGGAGTACACGTAGTGAACAGCCATTTTTTGGGCTTTACACACTCACAAAACAACCAACACATGTATACTGATAATAATGCTGGTATTTTGTTCTTTGTTTTCTTCTGTCAGTCTTGATTTGTTTAATTTTTGTTTAGAAAATAACGTTCTGTGTGATTACATTGTGATCTGATACAACCCTAGTAGGATTTTGCATGTTTAAATGGTAAAATTTAAATCTGATTTGTTAGAAACAGACGTGAAATTAATAAAAATGTCTTACATTGGATCGGTTATTCTGGTTCGACAAAAGCTTTTTTTTCTTATTAGAACTTTGTTATATTTAAACAAGTCTCAGTGTCAGATTTAAACAAGTGTTTCAGATAGTTACATTAAAAAAAAAGAAAATGAAGTAAACTAAATGCCCATTACTCAATATCTTACTTCCTTAAATCTAAGTTTCATCTGTTAAAATTGGATAATAGATTTTATTAAAGTAAGTAAAACTGCCCGACAAGTGTATTTAACAAAATAACATGTGGTTGTAAGCAGTAGGCATAGAAAGAAAAATAAATGTGGAACAATAAAAGTAAAAAATATCGTATAGTTCAGCATCGGGCTTGTGCATTTTTTTTTTACAAATACAATTAAACGTATATTCAGTTTTTCATGCAAAACAAAACTGATCTGTAATTACTTATATTTTCATACTTTAAATCTTATTATCTTATCGATTTTCCAAACATATAATATTTTTCTAGAATACATTTTGTGTTACTGGTTATTCTAAAAACTATTAAAAACAATAATAAAACAATAGCAAAAGTCTGAATTTGCATTAATATTAGAGAACATAAATTAACTAAAAATTGATATATGTTTTTATGTTGTAATATTTTCATACTGACAAGTAAATCTAATTTTAACAACTTAAATTGAAATTGAAATGGATTTTTCAATAGAAATAAACTTCCAAGCCTACCCGGAGTATCTTTAGCTCCACCTGGTGGTCAGCCCAGAGATCTGCAGGCAAGATGGCGGCGCCCGTACGGAGGTTGTGCAGTTCAGGTGAGGCAGAGGTTAACCCCTCAAATATCTCTCCGTGTTTGTGTTGTAAGTCTGAAACTAAAGCTGTGTGACCGTTAATGTGCATTTATTTTGGTATTTTCTTTTTTACACATTTGTATTTTTCATTAGTTAGCGTGGACAGTCAATGCTAAAGCTAACGCTAACAGTGTTGCGTTTCAGCAGGTTGTGAAAATGTTTCTGCGCTTAAAATGGTCAATATAGAGACAACGATATTACTTAAAATTGTTCTCCCTTTTGTTTTTCAAGTGCTGAGACACTCCAGCAAACATTTCAGCACAACGTGTGGAGTACAAGCTGGGGAGAAATGGAGGTTGGAGTAAGTTTGCTGCTGACATTCTAAACCAAACTCCATGGAAAAAAAATCATGTTTTAAGAAATATTAATTCAAGTTCTCTGAAATTTTATGAGCTCTCTATTTCCTCCTTTATACTCCTGTTACAATGATTCGGCGAAATTCTGCTTTTCCTACGTGTCTAGTCTTTGCCACAATTAACGGTTGAACTGTTCTAATGTTGATTTATCAGGTTTTACACACACAAAATGCATTTAAAGCATATTTTTCTGAGTCCTGCTGCTTCATTAGTTAATAATATTACATCTGTAAATGCAACTACACAATAATTAATTTAAAAACATCAAATTATGAAATATAATGAGCTTGTATTCATGTGTTTGCAGACATGGACTTGCCAGAAATGGATCAGAGTATGGACCTCTGACAGATCTGCCTGATTGGTCTTATGCAGGTATTTATTTATTTATTTATTATAATATGTTGTTCTTTGAAGTTTGGATTTTTAATTTGTTTATTTTATGAAATGATGACATCAGAGTGTATTACAGTATTTTCCTCATACATTTATAGCTTTAATTGGTGACTTTAATATTCACAGTGATGATCCCTCAGACCACTTTGCCATGGCTTTCTCCAGCCTCACGGACTCCTTCAGATTTACCCAGCATGTTTCTGGCCCCACACACACCAGGGGACACACTCTAGACCTTGTTTTTACCCTGGGCCTAAATGCTGACAATGTTTGTCCTGAGAACGTTTGTTTTTCAGATTCTTTTTGCATTTTCTTTACCTTGTCAGCTTCTGCGTCCCCACTTCCTGCTTGCCGTCTGTTTAGTTCTCCTTTTCCTAATGAGAGCACAGCTAGCAAACTTTCTGCTGCTTTTAATCCACCCTGTTCTTCTGATAACGACCCAGATTTCTTAACTTTTCAGTTTAATGAGCACTGCCTCTCCATTCTGGACAACATCTGTCCTGCCAGAACCAGATCAGTTCCTGCACCCTAATCCCTGGTTTAATGACGACATTTGCAGCCTGAAGCGCCAATGCAAAATAATTGAACGTTTGTGGAAGAAAACCTGTCTCCACGTCCGTCTGCTGCATCGGCTATCTTCACACTGCAGGCAAAGGCACATCAAATCAGATTTTTTACCCCCACATGCGACCCACATCTGATTTTTTCTATTACAGTCTGAACAGCACAGATCCATTTATTTTTTTCAAATCTGATCCAGGTCACATTCATATGTGGTACTGATTCAGATACACGTCTGATGTTTTTGAAAGTGACTGCAGTCTGAACGGTCATGTCACATTAAACCCGTCTCCTACGTCACTGAGTCAACGAAGAGTTCAGGAGTCTGTCTGGACATCCTGTCAAGTTTGGAATTAAAAATAGGCGAGCTTGAGAGCGGGAGGTGCTGCTGGAGCAAAGCGTCTCACCGTTCTCAGTCATCATTGGGGGGGGGGGGGGGGGGGGGGGGGGGGCTTTGTGAGTGAACTCAATACTGGAACATTTTCGGTGAATAATATTTCAGGAGGATGGAATAAGGACTAAAATAGTTTATAATTTTTAAAACAGATTCCAGTCCAAAATGGGAGACTTCACAGGTGTGATCCTGATCTACTTGATGAACTATCAGTGAAGGCTTTCACGTCATAAGTCCGCCTCTCCTGGTTCCGACTCCACTGAGTGTGACTTCTTGTCTTTGGGGCCGTGGAGTGTTCACACTGGAGAGAGTTTGATGTCACATTTCAGACATAATGTGAACAGCCACACAAAAAAATCAATTTGCTCAAAAAAAAATATTTGGAATTGAGCATTAAGACCTGCAGTGGGAACGCAGCCTAAAGGACCTTCAGACATCCTTTAACTCTGCAGTCAGAGACATGAACGGTTCTGTTCTGGTGCTGCTGGACCTGACTGCAGCCTTTGACACTGCTGACCATCACCTGCTACTGGAGAGGCTGAGAGACTGGGTAGACCTATCAGGATCTGCTCTGGAGTGGTTCTCTTATCTGTCTGCGCATTCCTTCTCTGTAGCCGTCTCCAATTGTCGATCCTCCACCACCTCCCTCACGTTTAGGGATGGGTACCCTTCACATTTAAATCGATTCTGGACCAATTCCCGGTACCTAGGAATCGATACCGGTATTTAACGGTACCAATTTTTGATACTTATGAGTGTTTAATAATTTAAAAAATCCTCTTCTTTAATTGTGTTTTCTCTCAATATATAACCATATTTGATAAATATCATAATAAATAATATACAAACTGTATCTCATCATTGTAGGGCTGTACACATTCTTCAATATGAGAACCTTAAACCACAACTGTTGCTAAGTTATACAAAAACAAACCCAGCTCCATGTACTCCTAATCCTAATATATTCCCTTTGGACAAATTGTGTGATGGGTGGGTCCTTTTAGTCTTAAAATCTGCAAATTAAACTGAAGCAAACATTTTTGCTGTGAACTAAATTTACTTTGTATCTTCATTCCTTTTCCCCGTTCATTACACTTGATTATTCCTACTCGGAATTTGAAATTTTTGAATTTTGAGGAGGGAGCGACTGCCCCATTAGCTGATAGCAACGGAAGCTAACGTTATCTTAAGCAGTTTGTTTACCTGCTGTAGCTAATTAAGATGGTGATGCCTAACTTTGAACGTTGTTGATGTCATCACTCAGTCACCCATCGCTTTTAGTGAGGTGAAGACAAACTTTAGAGGCTTTCTCTCTGCCTACTTGGAGGTCGGAATTTCTGAGTACCGAGGAGATAGTGAACGCACCATTGGCTGTTAGCAACAGAAGCTCAAATATCAAGCTAATGTTGTCTTAAACCGTTTATTTACCTGCTGGAGCAGATTAAGATGATGAAAACTCACTTACATTGTTGACAATGTTATCCCCAAGTCAGCCATCGTGTCTAATGAAGTAGACCCAAACTCTAGAGTGCGTTCTTTCTACCGTGCTCTGTTTACATCTCGCCTGCAGCGACAGACGACATAACGCTCTTGCACGTGCGCTGCTGTCTATCTTGGGAAATCAGGTACTGAACGCTAGAATCTAAGTGGCAAAAGGTACAGAAACAAGGCACCGTTTCATATTAGGCAAATCTGTCCTTGGTCGGTACCACAGAATTCGGTCGGTGCCTTAAGAAGTACAGAATGCGGTACCCATCCCTACCCATGGTGTCCCACAAGGTTCTGTACTGGGGCCTCTACTCTTCCTCCTCTATCTGCTTCCTCTTCAGCACATCCTGAGCTCCTTCAAGGGAATCTCCTACCATCTTTACGCAGATGACATCCAACTGTACATCTCCTTTAAGCCCCATGAGATGTCTAAGCTGCAGCTGTTACACACCTGCTTCGACTCTATCAAAACCTGGATGGCTGGGAGCTTTCTTCAGCTGAATGAAGATAAGACTGAGATCCTCATCTGTGCCCCAGACAAGCTGGTTCCCAAAGTCAGAGACTCTCTTGGTCAGCTTGCTTCTCACACCAAACCCTCTGTCAGGAATCTTGGTGTGACCTTTGACCCAGCTCTCACCCTGGATTCTCATGTTAGTTCTCTTGTTCTCTCTTCCTTCTTCCACCTCAGGAACATTGCTAAGCTGAATTTGAGATCGTCATCCACACCTTCATCTCATCGCAAATATTTTTTACCCATTATTTTTGACTTACTGTTGAAAAAACTTTTGTTTTGCTTTTATGTTACATTCTGTCCTACTGGTTATTGAGAAAGAAAAGTGATCTTTGTTGCAGCACATTTTCTTTTTTAACTCTGCAGTGGTGTTAAGTTAAAATCTTCTTTAAACTGTATTGTTTGTTCACAGATGGGCGGCCAGCGCCCCCATTAAAGGGCCAGCTGAGAAGAAAGCAGGAGAGAGAAGTTTTAGCTGTGAGTTTCACAATAAAAGCCTCCTTTTTAAAAAATCACTTGTCTTGACTCAATCACCCCTCCTGCTTGTTGTTTTTCTCAGAGGCGTATCGTGATGCTGAGCTCAGAGGTGGACAGAGGAATCGAGGCCTGGAAGGAGAAGCAGGATGAGGCTAAAAGATTAGAGGAGCACAAAAAATCCCTTTTACTCAAACCTAAAGGGAAACTTTTATTGAAACAGAAATCCAAGAGCTAGGAGCAAATGATCGTAATTTCATTTCCTGAACTTGCTACTTACTTCCTGTTGATGATGCTGGAGTGACAGCCTGTATGCTGCCCGGGTGGATCATTATTAATATACTTGTCCAAACATTTGGCTCTTTATCCACTTAATTTCTTGAATTTCAATGAAATAAATGTTTCTGGATTCTATTAACATGCAGTTAATTTCTGTGGCTTCTTGATGGGGGGGGGGGGGGGGGGGGGGGGGGAGAGACAACAACATGGGGTGAGCCACTGGGTGTATTTCTTCAATTGTCCACTAGAGGGAAGCAATTCTCCATTTTAAAAAGTCACTGTAGCGATATGACCAGTTTTGTCTCAAGTTGTTTATTTTGGGGGTTTTGGTGTAGGTAAAAGATGGTGGTAGTATCATGGGTAGTATCATGGTATGGGCCTGTCTTGCTAAGCCAACACAACATGATATTGTTTATTTAATATCGGGTAATTCTAATGAAAAAACAAACTAAGTCTCATTACTTAGAGGGTGTTTTTTTTTACCAAGTCGATGACCAAGCTGCCAAACAGAAAAAATAAGTAAAAAATATTTAAATCAGAAAAATAATAAACTACCTGGAATGATCTGCATAACATTTAATTAAAATCACATTTAAGCAGAAACACTTTAGCACGTTAAACAGGTCAGTGCGGGTTTGCAGAGATGCTGTTTTTGTTTAGTTTGGATTCATTTAATGTGACTGACTCATAAACTGTGTAACCCCCCCCCCCCCCCCCCCCACACACACACACACTTTTTATTTCTCTCTCCCCCCCCCCCACCTCTCGCCCTGGTTTTGTTGCAGACTTCAGCAAAGCCTCACTGTAATTAGGGCTGTGAGCCGCTGAGTTGCAGATTCTTTTCTGTGGATGTGGGAGTGCCCCCCCAATACCCCCGCCCCCCCCACCTATTTTTTAAAACTTTTTAAATACACATTGAACCAAAGGAGCTGACTGCTGAGTGAACAGAAGAGTGGGAAGACGGTGAACAAACCAAAGAGGGAGTTAAAGAAAACAAACGTACAGATTGTGTCAGATTCATCAACAAGGCGACAGACGCTCACATCCTGTCACCTGCACCATCAAAGCTCTCCGACTGACCCGAGAAATTTAACTCCTCTTCCTCTCTTTCTACTCACCAGCTCCTCACACGCTGCTTTTCTCTGAATGTCCTTCCTCCCCCGCTTTCTCCCTTCCTCTCCTCCTGTTGTTTTGGTTTTGTGGAAATGAGAACCAGATGTTGCTCATTGTGCCGGAGTCAGCAGTGGATGGAGGGGTATGGGGGGGGGGGGGGGGGGGCACAGGGCGGTAAGGTGAGGTTGGTCCACCAACATGAAGGATAGGAGGGAGATGTGGCTGCATTTAAAGGATTAGCCCACGGGCCTCTGTAGTCTCACCCACAGACCCGACACAGGGAGGTCTTCCTGGCAGATGGGGGGACGGAGGACACACGGAGCAGCTGGTTTATGGAGGTTCTGATTCAGCAACTTGCTCATAAAGTCCGCTTCCTGACCTGAGAGTTCTCAGAGCTTCAGGTTCAACAGGACTTCAGAGAATCAACGCTGTATGGTTGCTGATGGGTATAAACTGATTTTGACCTCACCTTGTTAATAATTTATATGTGTAAACATCTGGTGTTTTTCTTTCAAACGGAGGTTCATCAAACTTATTTACATTTAAATTGTTGCAGGAAGGGTGGCCTTTTATTATTAGAACTTCCTGAGAAGGCTAAAAGCCAGACCAATGTGTTGATCATGACTAGCGCCTGCAGGCACCTTCTCAGTGCTTCTCGGTTGACTGTCTGTGAAGAATTTGTGTGTGTGCTTATCTTTAACTTTGTGTGTGTGTGTTCCTAAACAAAATGAGGCTCCAGGCTTTGACTGATTGTGAGAGCAAACTGACCTCCGTTCTGGTGTGTATTGATTTCTCTCACCCGTTGCAAAGTATTTGTTGTTGTTGGTTGTCGGCTGATTACAATTGACCAAATTATCAATCTAATCCCTCTGTGTGTGTTTTGAACTTTCTTTGAGGTACTACGGGATCAATAAAAATTACCCAACAGTTGCATTTAACCCAGTTTATTACATAGTAAAGCATCAAATCCTTGTTTACTAAGCAGTTTTTAAAACTGACTTTAAAGGTTGATTAGCTGACTGTGATCAGTGTGTGAATGTCATTGTTTCCTATTGTAGCTAAAAATCTACATAAACAAAAAACGTACACATATGAATAAATAAATGAATAAAAGTATCTGATTCCACACGTGATCTTAAAGGGACAGTACATCATTTAACACGCCTATTTGAGTCATGTGACTATTCCAGTGACTTAACTGTTTTTCTCCAGTGATGTGTGTATGTACAGGTAAAGAAAACGTAACCCCAAAAACAAGTCGTTTAACAAACAAGTCGTTTGATGGTTTATCTCTTGAGGTCCATGTGGCAGGAGTGAGGAGTGAGCACCACCTCACCCCTGCCACATGGACCGCTAGGGTTAAACCATCAGCCCTGCTCAATGGTCAACTTTCCTGGCGGGGTCACCCATTAGGACAGTGGGAGGTTTAAAGCATTAGGTCTCTTGATCATTGTTTTGTGGTGAGTAATTAAATCACATTCATCACATTGATGAAAAGGCAGAATTTTAAATAACCCAGAAGGAGTATTTACACAGGAGGGGTAATGGTGAATGGAAACCATTCACGCGGGCTGCCGGCTTGTGGAGCTCTGGGATGGAAACCTTTCCACCCGGTTCTCCCCAGCGGCAGCTCTGCGCATCTCAGATCGCAGCGGCGCTTGTCTGCTGTGCGACTGCCGCCTTGTGGAACTCTCGGGAGACCTCTGTGTTCCACCCGGTTTTACCCAGCGGTCAGCCCGGCGTATCTCTGACTCAGAAGCTCTGGTGTTGTGCACAGTTAACTCTGGTTGTAGCTAGGTTGCTACCTCCGTTAGCTTAGCTCCCACCTCCGCGTTAGCTTTGGGTTAACTTCAGGTTAGCTTGTAGCTAGTTCGACCGGGTGTCGTCAGTTGATCCCAGCCTTACAGCCCCACCCTCATCTCCTCCTCTCTTCCCTTTTGTGGAATTGTCTGGGCTTGACGGAACCTGTGACACGGTCAAAATGGTGGTGGCCACCTCCCATTTATCTTCAAAAACGTGTTATTGGAGCCTATGGAAACCCACTGTCCATATATGTATATGTCGATGATGGAAACAGGTGTGCTGATTGCTAATTGGAAGCCAAGAGCTGGAACCAGGGATTACTGAGAACATTTAATAAACAAGTTCACTGGGAAAAAAGTTTTTAATTATTTTTCAAATCTGATTGGTCACTCTGAGTTTAAAATGCAGGCTAAGCAGGAAAGTAGTCATTCATTCGTTCATTTATCTCCTATCCGGAGAACAGCCATCCACCACTATTTCCTAGACGCCAATAGAAAATAGACACAGATTAACATCACACTGAAATTCAACATCCATCTTGATTCACGACAGAGAAGGCTGTTGTTGGTTTAGCGTCCAGGAAATGGCTAAAATGTCAACTAATAGAAGCTAACCGTTAGCATTAGCAACTCCACAACACAGCAGAACTCCTTCAGGCTTGTGTTATTTACAGAGATAAAACATCAACGTTGCAGAGCAAAACAGCAATCAGTGGTAGAGTTGCATTGCTGGTAGCCAATCATAGGAGAGATCTCAGAATATCAGGAAATAAGAGTCCAAAACCTGCCATCTGAAGCTCACCTCTGCACTGGCTCACCTCCAGTTTCTATAACGGGAGCGCCACAGCTTTCTCCCCTACACAGCTCGACTCACAAGGCATTCATTTATACTAGAGACCACTGCAAATGTATCAAAAAAACAAGTGAACTCAGTTTTTATTGGTAATAATGGCCGAACAATAACCAGCAACAGAAAGTAGGACTAACTTTATAACAACCAGTTAATTGTGAAGGATTACTGTCCACTGGGAGTCTCCCACTTGCACTAATGTAACTCTTTTGTAATCAAATGGTATAATTCTAGAAGAATGGAAGAAGAAGAGACTGTTGAAATATAGTTGCCATGGCAACTCAAACTCGGATTATTGTTTAATCTCTAAATTTGCTCCAACTGAAAGAAGACATTCCATCAAATCTGTTCCAACAAGACTGCCATATTCCTCGCAACATCTGGACAAATAAACCTTCACTTTTAAATATGTTAAATTATATTGGCACAATTATTATTTTATGCAAAATAAATATAAAAATGCTAATAAAACCACAATCTAGGTCATCCAAAGTCTCAGGTTGAATTGCGAGCAGGCTTCCTGACCACTTCCTGCCTGGCATGAAGAGGGACTGCTGAGCCCGACGGTTGTTCCCGCACCGCCCAGCCTTTACTGAACGGGATTAAAAATGCCTGATGGGGACAGGAAAAAAGTTTTAAAGAGAAAATGTTTAAGAAAGAAAAACGGAAAGTTTAACAGCTGCCAAAAAACAACTTTTTTCACATTTTAGTATGCAGCATAAAAGAGTGTTAAACGACAACAACGGCTGATGCAGTCTGTTGAGTTGCATGTATTTTATTCAACAGCCATTAATGAAATTAGAAATGAAAAGATTTAGTCCAGAAGGTTAATGCGAGAAACTTCCACTGCAACAAATGGAAAGTCCAGATGCCAGAGCGCTAAAGAGAGTCGCCGGTGTAGCAGGAAAAAGGCTAAAGCAGATGTGGATGGAAAAAATGTGCTTCCAGCGTGGTTTTACAGTATATTCCTGTGAGACAAGCAGACGGTGCAGAAGCTTTTTTATTACCACACCAAAAACAATGGGTCACACAAACCGATGCATGCTTCAAAATATTTAGTCACAATATAGCTTGTTACTACTTTTAATTGGTCTAGGTTACAGGACATATCATTATAGAAGTAGTAACAGCTTTTGGTTTTACCACCCTGATCAATGTTTAAGAAAGTGTAAAAACAAAACAACAGAGGGAGAGGATGTTTTCTGTTTTTCACACAATTAAAAGCAAAAAATAAAAATAAAAAATTGTTGGTTGCAATCTGCTCAGGTGTCACTGAATGTGTGTATGCACAATTATTCTGCTGTTGTGTCAGCTTTTACAGATAAACTTGTAGATTTTCCTGATCGGGTTAGCTTTAGCGATCATTCCAAGACC